GAACTCACAGAGATCCGCCTGGCTCTGCCTCCCGAGTGCTGGGATTAAAGGCGTGCGCCGCCGCCGCCGCCGCCGCCGCCGCCGCCGCGGCCACCACTGGAGGATTCAATCTCTGAGATGCCGGGAGGGCGGCCGGGTCAGGGGGGTGGGGGGGAGCTCTAACCTAATCAGTGCATTGATCTAGCTAGGCCATTAGTTCTCAGCCTGTAGATTGCGATCCCTTTGGGAGTCAAATGACCCTTTCACAGGGGTCACCTAAGACTACAGGGAAACCCAGATATTTACATCGCTATTCATAATAGTAGCAAAATTACAGTTATGAAGTATCAACAAAAATGTTATGCTTGGAGGTCACTACAACATGAGGAACTGTATGAAAGGGTTGCAGCATTAGGAAGGTTGAGAACCACTGATCAAGGCAAACACTCCTCCACTGAGCCACGCCCCCCGCCCCTCAATGGGGGATTCGAAGCAGATGCTCTACCTTCGAGTACCCTCAGAGGGACTCAGAACTTCAATGCTTCCAGATTCAGGCTTAGAGCTGTCCTTCCAACATCAGATTGGGGTCTCTACTAATTTGAGTACATGGTGATTAAAAGGAAGGTGAAGAACATCAACCCCTCACACATGCTAGCTGCCAAGAACAGCTGAATCTGAACTGGAGCCTAGAATCCCCCAGTGAGGGGCTGGGGTGTGGCTCAGTGGTAGAGCACCTGCCTAGAATCCCCCAGTGAGGGGCTGGGGTGTGGCTCAGTGGTAGAGCACCTGCCTAGCATGCAGGAGTCCCTGGGTTCCAGGCATACAATGCAAACAAATAAATATTTTAAAAAGTGCCAGGTGGTGGTGGCTCACTCCTTTAATCTCAGCACTCTGGAAGCAGAGGAAGGTGGATCTCTGTGAGTTCGAGGCCAGCCTGGTCTACAGAGCTAGTTCTAGGACAGCCAAGATTACACAGAGAAACCCTGTCTTGAAAAACAAAAACTATTAAAAGGCCCCTTTCAATAAAGTTGTCCGTGCAGCCTTGGGTTCTCTTGTCCAAGCCTGAGCACGCCTGTCTCTCTCAAACAATAAGATCATAGCCTGGGGAATCAGCAAGGGGTAATCAGGCCAATCTGGAGCCAGAGCAGGCATCGATTCTGACCTATGGCAGCATTCCAACACCACCCAGGCGACTTACTCCATCCTTGTAGCCTGTTTTTCAGTTGATGGCATCAGACGGGCTGCAGATTGATGGCCAGACCCCTTGCTGTGCCTATCGGAGGATGACATAGAGTCCCAGCTTCATAGGAAAAGGAGGAAATTAACCCACTGCCCTCCTCCTCAGGAGGGGGTAGCTTGGCTGTCACCTTCCAAATGAAGGTTGGAAAATGGAAGCCAATAGCCTAAGGGTCCTGGTAAGCGACAGAGACAGATAAAGGCCAAACTCAAGCTGCCCAAACTGCTGGCCCCTGGGTCCCTCTTTCCTTCCTCCTCTCCTCCTCTTCTCCTTCCTTTCCCTCCCTTCCCTTCCCCTTTCTTCCTTTCCTCCCCCCATTCTCCTCCCCACTCCCTTCCCTCTTCTCTCCCTCCCTTTCTTCTTTCTTTCTTTGAAACTAGGTCTCACGAAGCCCAGGCTAGCCTTGAACTTGCAATGTAGCCAAGAATGACTTCGAACCCCTGTTGCCTCCGCCTGCCACATGCTAGAGTTACCAGTGTGCCACCCCACCTGGTCTATGGGGAACTGGGGATGGACGTCAGAGCTCTTTATGTAGGCTAGAGGAGCAGGCTAACCACGGACTCTGCCGTTTCAAATCCTCCCTCCCCCACCCCTTCTTTTTTGTTCCAACGGTGTCTCGCTGTGTAGCCTAAATGGGCCCCGAAACTGCCGGTAACCCCGGCTGTCCTCACACTCTAGGCCCTTCCATCCCAGTACTGGGATTACTGGCTTGTACTCTTTGGAAAGTCTTGACTGTCCTGTGAGAAGCCAGGGATGGATCTCTCCTCTTTCCTTGCCCAGTGGGTGGTATGTGGGTGCTTACTAACCCTACAGGAAAGTGGCCTAGCCTAGTCACCTAATTGCCCAACAACTCATCTCCTTAACCATTAGGACTTGACACCGAGATAAGAATGTCTGACTTTCTTTTCTTGCTTTGATAACAATCAAAGCCCTAAAGGTGAAATCAAGGATCTAACGGCTTCCCCGCCCCCGACTGGCCAGCATCCTGTTGTTCAAACCTTAAAGGTTGTGAGGGGGGTCTTCTAGCCAAGCTTCTTAGTTTACTCTTTCTTTTCTGTCCTTGTTTAAAAACAAACCAAATCAAACCTCAACTGATGGCTCAAACCCACTTCCCAGCAGAAGGGTTGCAAGTTCAAGACCAGCCTGTATTCAAAATAAAAAGTGAGAAAGGGAGGCTCAGTAGTAAAGCACCTGTGTAGAATAACCAGTGAGGGGCTGGGGTGTGACTCAGTGGTAGAGCCCCTGCCTAGAATCCCCCAGTGAGGGGCTGGGGACTCTTGCCTACGGGGCTTGCCTAGCATATGTGGTTCCTGGATCTATTCCCAGCACTACAAAAAAGAAAAAAAATATTCACGGAACACAAACAACCTGCAAGAAGATAAGAGGAACCTCTTCTGTCACCATCTTGGTATTCTGTCATCTGGAGGTGGTGGTGCCGCTTGTGTTGGCGGCTTTCAAAAACACCACACACACACAGACACACACACACGGACACACACACACACACACGGACAAGAAAACTGTCCTTTTCATCAGCCGGGGTAAAGGTACTGGCCTTTCTCACAGAACACGCTTGAGCTCATCCAGAGCCTCTTTCCCTTCATCCCTTCCTTGTTTTTGTGTTTTCCCAGACAGGGTTTCTCTGTGTAGATCTGGCTGGCCTCGAACTCACAGAGACCGTCTGCCTCTGCCTCCACTGCCCAGCTTTCACACCTTTCTTTCTTCTTCCCTGTCCTACCCTTCCTTCTCCTCATCTTTTTTTCTTTTTTTAATGTGGTGAATTCCAGGCCAGCTATTCAGACCTCAGTGTGAGCTCTTCTCTCAAAAAACAAAACAAACAAACAAACGAAACCAAGATGGCTCCATTGGAAAGCGCTTGCCCTGCAGACATTAGGAGCTGGGTTTGATCCCCAGAATTCACCTAAAGAAATGCCAAGTGTGAAGGCTGACACTGTAATCCCAGTCCTGGGAGGCCGCACAGACCAGTCCCTAACGCTTACTGGCCAGCTAACCTGGCTAGGTTGGTGAACTGCAGGCTAGGGAGAGACCCTGCCTCAGAGAACAAGGTAGAGCCTTTAATCCCAGCCCTTGGAAGGCAGAGGCAGGTGGATCTCTGTGAGGTCCAGGCCAGCCTGGGCTACACAGTGAGACCCTGCCTCACAACACAAAATCGAATGGCAGCCAAAGTTGCCCTCTAGTCTCTTATACATGCATACCTGCACACATAGGTGCTCCTGCACACACGTGTGTACACACACACACACACCTGATACTTCTTTGGGTCTCTGACTTGTCTCCTGCCTCATGGTAAGAACTGTTAACAGACCACACCCCAGAGCTGCTCTGAGGCCAGTGTGTGATGACCGCCCCCGGAGCCGTGCGCACCCCAGAGCCGCTCTGAGGCCAGTGTGTGATGACGGTCCCCGGAGCCGTGCGCACCACAGAGCTGCTCTGAGCAAGAAAGGAGAAAGCCAGGGCATGCGCAAGACGGTCTAGACGAGAACGGCGCCTTTTAGAGAATTCACCACCTTGCGCGTGCGCGTTCCACCGGGATGAGCCATTATGCCAAGACAGCTCTGGGTGTGGACAGAAACCATTGCGTCCATTATGATCCAAGAAAAATAAAGGAAAGTACAGGTGAGGTGGCCCAGTGGGAAAGATGTCTGCCGCCGTGCCGCCAAGCCTGATGGCCTGAGTTCGATTCCTGGGCCCCACAAGGTAGGAGAGAATCGACTTCTGGAAGTTGTTCTCTGAACTCGACATTCATGTCCTGGCTCACATGTGTACACACACACACACACACACACACACACACACACACACACACACACACTAAATGTAATTTAAAATTTTTATGTAAAAAATTTTTTATTAAAGAGGTCAAAGGGCTAGAGCTATGGCTTAGTTGATAGGGAAAGAGAAAGTTGCCTAGAGAAAGAGGCGGTCCCCTACACCGGCTGCCAATCACAGGCTTGTCTGGGTCCTTCCCAAGCAGGCAATGACATCTGGCAAACTCATTGTCTGCTGCTCCGTGGGGAGAGGGAGGTGTTAGACGGGGTCCAGAGGCAGTTTGCCTAACGTGTCTGCTCGCTCCCTCTCTGCCTTTTCCGTTCTCGTGAACGCAACAAAATAACAGCTGTTCATAATTTCATGCATAAAGAACTATGTAAATCTCCGTGATGAAAATGTGTTGCGTTTCTTGTTCCTTGCAGGGGAAGTGTACTGGAGCCCCAGCCGGCTCCGGGTACAGTTGTGAAAACTCGCATACAGCTCGGAGCTGATTGAAGCCTGACTTCCACTCACGGCTCCGTTTGGGAATGAGTCTGGGCGAACAGATAGCCAGCGGCTTCCTGGCTCTATCCTTGCCAGCCGGAGGGGTTTGGAGGCCAAGTATCTTGTTTCCAATTCAAGCTCAGTCACCTTTGACTGATGCGTTAGTTTTAGTGTGTGTGTGTGTGTGTGTGTGTGTGTGTGTGTGTGTGTGTGTGTGTGTGTACACTTGGCTGTGGAGGTCAGAGGACAACTTCTGGGAGTTGGTTCCCTTCTTCCACCACGTGGATTCCAGGAATCAAACTCAGGGCCTCCTCAGGCTTGGTGGCAAGTGCCTTTGCCCATGAACCGTTATGCCTGTCCTGACTTTCTGTCTTGAGACAGGGTCTCTCACTGAACCTACAGCTCACTGATTCAGCTAGGCTGGCAAGCCAGGCAGCCCCAGGGACCCTCCTCTCTCTACCTCACCGCTGCCAGGGTTACAAGCGTACACCACCTCTCCTGGTTTATTTCCATGGGTGCTGGAGATCAATCCTTATGCTGATGCGATGCGGTAGCGCTTTACCAACATCTCCCCAGCCTTCTGTGGGTTCTTTCTACTGCAGCCACACAGCAGGAATAAAGATATCTATCTATCTATCTATCTATCTATCTATCTATCTATCTATCTATCTATCTACCTATCAATCATCTATCTATCATCTATCTATCTATCATCTATCTATCTATCTATCTATCTATCTATCTATCTATCTATCTATCTCCGTGTAGATTTGGTGCCTGTCCTGGATCTCTCTCTGTAGACCAGGCTGGCCTCGAATTCACAGAGATCCACCCGCCTCTGCCTCCTAAATGCTGGGATAAAAGGCATATGCCACTGCCGCCCAACGAATAAAGATATTTATTTCACACATTATTTGTATAACAGTTACACACCCGTGTATTCACTTCTAACAGCCCTTATGTAGGGAAGCCAAGCATATGTAACATATGTACAGCTTAAAAAAAAATCTGTTCATTAATTGACAAATTCATGGATGTATGTAATGCCAGCTTCATCTTATGCACCCCATTGTCCTCTCTAACTCCCTTCCCATGTTTTTACAGGTGTTTGTATATGTGCGTGTATGTGAGTGAGTGTGCACAGAGTATGGTGCATGTGTGAAGGGTCAAAGGACCATCTCAAGTTCAGTCCGCCTTGTCTGAGACACCACCGCCTACCCCATGCTAGCTGGCCCTTGAACTTCCTGGGATTTCTCTCCCCCTCCTCTTGATTTAGGAGTGCTGGAATTACAGGCACGTTCTAACGGGTCTGCCTTTACACGGTTTGGGAGGATTTGAACTCAGTTCCTCACACAAGTGCTTTACCCTCTGAGCCATATCTTGAGCCTTGTTTACAGGTTTGTCCTAGTCCTGCAGGAGGTCAAAAGGGGAAAGGGAGGGGAGGGGAGGGGAGAAGAGGGAAGGAGAGTGGAGTGGAGGAAAGAGGAAGGGAAGGGATGGGGAGGAGGGGAGAGGAGAGGAGAAGAAAGGAGAGTGGAGTGGAGAGGAGGGGTGGGGAGAGGAATGGAGGGGGAGGAGCGGAGGGGAGAGGAGGAGAGGGAAGAAGAGTGGAGGGGAGGGGAGGGAAGGGGAAAAGAGTGGGGAAAGAGGTGGAAAGGGGGTAAAGAAAGGAAAGGAGACCAGGAAGAGAGGACTCCAGGGGCTCTTAATTATCACCTCATCATCTGTGTTCTACCCTTGACCTGCAGCCCTGGTCCCTTCCTCCTCCCTGCTCCCTGGTCGGGCGCTCTGGAAGCAGCCCTGAGACAGTTTCAAGTGTAGGCGCTTAATGGGGTCTGATCATACATCAGCATCAACCAATGCCTTTATGGAAGTAAGAGAGCGGCCGGGAGCAGCAGGAAACACCTAAAGCCGCAGTGACGTCATAAAAAAGGCTGGGGATGTAAAAGTCACTAAAGTGTCCAACTGGAAGTGATTCTTCTGCCTCAGCCTCCCCAGTGCTGGAATTACAGAGGTGCCCGCACTCGTGTGTGTGTGTGTGTGTGTGTGTGTGTGTGTGTGTGTGTGTGTGTTGTGTGTGTGTGTGTGTGTGTGTGTACATGAGCCACGGCACGTGTGTAAAGGTCAGAGGGCAACTCGTGGGAGTTGCTTCTCTCCCTCCACCACGTGGGTCTTAGGAAGTGAACTGTGTCATCTGGCTGACAGCAAATGCCTTTTCCCTCTACGCCACTGGTTTGCAACCATCCTGATGCTGTGACCCTTTAAAACGGTTCATGTTGTGGTGACCCCCAACCTCAAAGTTATTTTCATTGCTACTTTATAACTGTAATTTTGCTACTGTTATGAATCACAGTATAAATACTGTTGGAGACAGAAGTTTGCCGAGGGGGTTGCAACCCACAGGTTGAGAACCACTGCCCTAAACCGTCTTTTTTTTTTTTAACCTTTGGGAGAGAGGGGGAGGGAGGGAGTTTTTTAACCCTTTGGACAGTCCTTCAACAGATAAAAAAGGAGTATGGACTTTGAAGATTGCTGAAACTTAAAAAAATATATGCATGGCCGGGCGGTGGTGGAGCACGCCTTTAATCCCAGCACTCGGGAGGCAGAACCAGGCGGATCTCTGTGAGTTCGAGGCCAACCTGGGCTACCAAGTGAGTTCCAGGAAAGGCGCAAAGCTACACAGAGAAACCCTGTCTCAAAAAAACCAATATATATATATATATATA